TTGTGAAAATACTGTACAGAGGGGTTACAATTACATGGGCAAGATAATGAGTACATTTCTTATCAAGCATTGTAGCCTCCTCCTTTGTTTCCCATTCCCATCCCATCCTCCCTCTGCCCCCCCCCCACCCAGCCCACCTTCCCCCCCTACCAAAGTTTTGGGTTTTGAGACAGGGTCTCTTTATATGGCTCAGGCTGGCCTCAAACTCTCATCTTCCTGTCTCAGTCGCCTGAGTGCCGGGATTATGGGTGAGTGCCACCACACCCATCTGAGATGTGTAAATCATTTTCTTCCTGTTTCTGTAATTCTGCTTTGATTCCCAGAACTGGACTCCTGTGCTTTGGGGAACCATGGCTGTGAACATCTGTGTGTCAGCAAAGAAGACTCTTTTGTGTGCCAGTGCTTTGAGGGGTACACCCTCCGTGATGATGGGAAAAGCTGCAGACGTAAGTTTACCTGGAGCAGACTGTGCAGGCATTCACCCTGTGATCACTTGATAAGCCAGTTACTCTCAAAAGCCTCATACCTGTAATTCTAGCTACTCAGGAAGCTAAGATCTGAAGATTGTGGTTCAATGCCAGCCTGGGCAGAAAAGTCCCTGAGACTCTTAGCTACATTTAGCCACCAAAGAGGTAGAAATGGTAGAGCACTAACCCTGAGCAGAAAAGCTCAGGGACAGCACCCAGGCCCCAAGTTCAAGCCCTAGTAACAGCACAAAAAAGAAAAGAAAAGTGGGGCAGGGAGTGGAGAGGAGAAAAAGTTGAACCAGGCTTGATGATACACAACTATGATTCAAACTACTCAGGAGATAGGAAGAATATGGTCATGGTCCTGGCCTGGCAGAAATATGAGACCCTCTCTGGTAAAAACAAAGTATACCACTCCTGGGCATGAATCTGTAGGAATGTAGTCAGCATACAGTAGAGACACCTGCACATCCATATTCTTCACAGTGCTATTCACAATCGCCCACCTGGTGGAATCAGCCAGGGTGCTCACCAATGGATAAAGAAAATGTAGTATATATACACAATGGAGTAATATTTAGCCATAAAGACAAATGAAGAAAAATGAGTGAACCTGGAGATCATTATGTTAAGTGAAATAAGCCAGACTGAGAAAGACATGTTCTTTCTCACATAGTATATAAACTTACAAAGAATGACAGTATAAGCCAGGTGCTGGTGGCTCACTCCTATAATCCTAGCTACTCAGGAGGCCTGAGGTCTGACAATCATGGTTCAAAGCCAGCCCAAGCAGGAAAGTCTGGGAGACTCTCATCTCCAATTAATCACAAAAAAAGCAGAAGTGGTATGGCTCAAGTGGTAGAGTGCTAGCCGTGGACAAAAAGAGCTCAGAGACAGCACCCAGGCCCAGAATTCAAGCCCCACAACTGGCAAAAAAAGGGGGGGCACGTTTGGGTAGAAACCAGTAAGAAAGAAGAGAATGAAGTGGAGGTGATGTAATCCAAGTACTTCATATGAAAATAGATTAATGAGCAGAGCACTGGTAGCTCATGCCTGTAGTCTTAGGTGTTGAGGAGGCTGAGATCTGGACCATTGTAGCAAGCTCAGAAGAAAAATTCCAACTCCAAAATAACCAGCCAAAAAGCAGGGCTGGAGGTGTGGATCAAGTGGTAGAGTGCTATCTGTGAGCAAGCATAAGACCCTAAGATCAAATTATAGTGTTGCAGAGAGAGAAAAGGGGGGAGAGGAGGGGAAAGGGGGAAGGAGGCGGAGGAGGAAGAGGAGGAGAAGGAGGAAAAAATGAAAGAGGAATGTGTAATCCTGGGCAAACAATTCCCATCTCTATCTACCATCTTATTCTCAAGTTTTTCAAAACTCTTTAGAAGAGCAACTTGACTGACACTATTTGAAGAAAAGATGCATAACCAGAGTAATTATTCTCATTTTTCAGACAGGAAAGCTAAAATCTAAGAGGTTAAGTGATTCTCCCACATCATATTATATCAAGGATAAAGCCAAAATCGGACCACAGGGTTTCTAATCTAAATTGCAGTTTAATCTCCTAAGTAATCATAGCAACAGCATTTCCATCCTGGTCTGAGAAGCCATGTCTGCAGGAAGCAGTAGATGGACTGATTGCATGCAAACCAGATGTTGAAAACGCTGCTGGCAGCCATAGTAAGAAAGATTGTATTTTTGGTGCCAAGTTCAGCCACTAAAATCACAGATCATCCTTGATCTTACCCTCCTGCCCCTGAGGCAATAGAGTCCAGTGCCTGAGATGGATGGATCTTCCATGTCAAAGTTAGGTTGACTCGATTGTTTTCACTGGCTCTGCTCTCCTCAGGGAAAGATGTCTGCCAAGCTGTGACCCATGGCTGTGAGCACGTTTGTGTGAGCAGTGGTGAGTCGTACACTTGCAAATGCCTGGAGGGATTCAGACTTGCTGAGGATGGAAAACGCTGCAGAAGTAAGTACTAAGTCCCCTGGTGAGGAATGTTCCCACCTGTGGCACTCACTCTGTCCCTCTTCTTCCTGGTCTTCCTCCAAACCTTCCTTTTACAATTTCCTAACCAATGTCACAGATGCTAGGTCCTAGCTTGGGTACTGCGGTTGTGTTCTGTGGGAGGTCAGACCAGTGGATTGTGGTTCGTCAGGAATTTCTCAATGGAGGCTTTCTCCTGTCCATTCTCTCACACATGGTCTTTCCACACTAGCCATGTGCTCACCCAGAGCCCACTGTGTGCCTGACTCCTCAGTCTGAAATGTCTTTTGTAAACTATTAAGGTATCAGTGTATGAATCATTTTGCTTCCTGTTTCTGTAATTCTGCTTTGATTCCCAGAACTGGACTCCTGTGCTTTGGGGGACCATGGCTGTGAACATTTGTGTATCAGCAAAGAAGACTCCTTTGTGTGCCGGTGCTTTGAGGGGTACACCCTCCGTGATGACAGGAAAACCTGCAGACGTAAGCCTCACTGCATCTTCGACAGCAATCCACTACAAAGATCAGAAGATGATTTCTGTGCTTTTTCTTCTTGGCAGATCTTATAAGTCAGAGAGGGCAAAGGGTGGTAGAGTAGCTTAAGAGATTAAAAGTCTGTGAGACTGTTACCTCTTAATTAACTAGCAAAAAGCAGGAAGTAGAGCTGTGGCTAAGTGGTAGAGTACTAGCCTTGGGCAAAAAAATCTCATGAACAGCTCCCAGGCTCTTAAGTTCAAGCCCTAGGACTGGAACTGCCCCCCCTCCAAAAAAAAAAAAAAACAGAAAACTGTAAAGTTAGTTTTCAACCCAGATGTTTTGGGATTTTCTTCTAAAGAATTTTGTTGTTGTTGTTAGTCGTAGGGCTTGAACTCTGGGTCTGGGCTCTGTCCCTGAACTCTTTAGCTGAAGGCTAGCACTCTACCACTTTGAGCCACAGCACCACTTCTGCTTTTTTTCTGGTGGTTAATTGGAAATAAGAGTCTCACGGCCTTTCCTGCCCTGGCTGGCCTTGAACCATGATCCTCAGATCTCAGCCTCCTGAGTAGCTAGGATTACAGGCGAGAGCCACCAGCATCCAGCTTAAGAATTTTTTTGAGTATATGGTTTATTTAATCTCCCCTTAAAAGTAGGGGCCCAGCTCATTTCTATCCTCATGGGACCTTGCCTCCCCCCACTTCCTTAGGGAAGGATGTCTGCAAGTCCACCCAGCATGGCTGCGAACACATTTGTGTGAACAGTGGCGACTCCTATGTCTGCAAGTGCTCGGAGGGATTCATCCTCGCTGAGGGTGGAAGGCGCTGCAAGAGTAAGTAGCTGGAACCTGGCTTCCATTTGATTTTGACATAACTGCTTTTCTGGCATATTCTCGGGCAACAAACCTCTCCCTTTTACTTCTCCCACAATTGTAATTGTGGGTACACAAACAGAAAAGTGGGGGAGAGTAGGCTTAATTATAGCAGCACTTGCCAAAATACTTGTTTTAATTGACAGGAGCTCGCGATCAGTCAACACACTTGAATGAGCTTGGGCTGAATAAGGATATAGATATATAGAGATAGAGCTAAGTGGAAAAATATTTTCCTAGAATGTGCAAGGCCCTGGGTTCAATCCACAGCACTGGAAAAAAAATCTGATGATAGCATATGCTATGCTAGCCAGATGGAACAAAGATTTAAACATAAGGGTGCTGGTGCCTCACGCCTGTAATCCTAGCTACTTAGGAGGCTGAGATCTGAGGATCATAGTTCAAAGCCAGCCCAGGCAGAAAACTCTTATCTCTAATAAACCACTCAGAAAACCGGAAGTGGTGCTGTGGCTCAAGTAGTAGAGCGAGCACCTTGAGTTGAAGAGCTCAGGGACAGCACCCAGGCCCAGAGGTCAAGCCCCACAACCTGGGGGGAAAACGAGTCACAACATAGCTAAAGGAAATTAGAAGAGACTTATTTAATAGTCTCAGAATATAGACACTTTCTAAACATGATAAGAAACTTAAAATGAGAACTATAAATGAGAGATTAAAGCCACTGTAGTTTGGGTTTTTTTTAATTTCTTTATTGAGATTAAGTGATTACATAAACTTTACAATATTGTGGGATAGTGATATTTAGCTAAAGTCACAAACACATTTTAACCTTCACAAGGTGAATGTCATGATCACTTTCTATAAAGCTTATGAACTCTATGAGCTTTGACAGTGCAACTGTTTCTTCCAAATAGGGTGTTACGTACATTTCTTTCTTTTTGCTTAGTGTAAGCTGCTCCTTCTTTCTCTCTCATTCCCTCCCTCCCATCGCTGCCCTTGAGTTGCTTAGCTCACTTTCATCAATGTCCAGTGCAGCTGATGGACTCCTCTGCTGTAGTTATTAGAGATCAAAGTGTCCAGTGGTAGCTTATGTTAATAAAGGTAGGTCATAAATGGCAATAATAAGCCAGTGTGTACCTGAATAGGTCCAATATTTATTGATTTGTTTGTTTGTTTGGTGCTAGTTCTAGAGATTAAACTCGGGGCCTGGGTGTTGTCCCAGAGCTTTTATTCCCAAGGCTTTCGCTGTACAACTTGATCTACAGTTTCACTTCTGGCTTTTTTTTTTTTTGGTAGTTAATTAAAAATAAAGAGTCTTATGAACATTGCTGCCTGGGCTGGCTTTGAACTTCAATCCTCAGATGTCAGCTGCCTGAGTAGCTAGGATTATAGGCATGAGCCAGCAGTGCTTGATGAGGAGCTTAATCCCAAATCAGCCCAGGAAGGAAAGTCTGTGACACTTTTTTTTTTTTTTGGCCAGATAGGGGTTTGAACTCAGAGCCTAGGCTCTGACCCTGACCTCTTTTGCTCAAGGCTAGCATTTGAGCCACAGCGCCAGGCACTGTACCACTGAGCCACAGCACCACTTCCATTTTTCTGGTGGTTAATTGGGACTAACAGTCTTACAGCCTTTTCTTCCCAGGCTGGCTTTGAACCACGATCCTCAGATCTCAGCCTCCTCACAGGTGTGAGCCACCAGTGCCAGGCTATGAGAATCTTATCTCCAATTAACCACTAAAAATCCAGAGATGGAACTGTGGTTTAAGTGGTAGAGTGCCCACCTTGAGCAAAAAAACCTAAGCAACAGCACTTAGGGCCTGAGTACAAGTCCCATTACTGCTACTCAGTAGTTGTCGCTGAGCTTTTTCACTCAAGGCTAGTGTTGATTTATGTTTTTAGAAATAGTAAGGGAATAGGTTAAGATAAACATAACTTAGAAAGAACATGATGGTAAATTCATTTCCTTGCATAGCAAAAAATAAACGGAGACTATTGTTGGATAAAAGGCATGAGATACTTATCATTCAACCACCAAATGACGGTCTCCTATATATGATTTATATGGTACCTCCTCCCACCCCAGCCTAGCAGCCAATCTGGGAGAAGCTGGCAGCTCAGCTTGAGGCCAGAGAAGGAGCTGCAAGATTAATTAGTTCCGAGCAAGAGCAGCAAGTCAGACAGACTTGGACTTGATACTTCTTGTGTGACTTTGCTCCTATTTAACCTGAGTCTCTGTTGTCTGGCTTTAAGAACCATCATAAGGCACAGGTAGATCAGGTATCCAGTGCTGGCATATAGGCAGGGTTTGGTAGGCAGTCTCTCTTGAATTCCTTTGAAGCAGAGCTGTCTAAAAGTGGGGCTTTGGTAGTAGGTGCTGAGCACCTTTGTCAGGAGAGGTGGCCTGGCCCAGGCTAATGTAGAGAGGTAAGCAACAGCAGGGCTAGAGTAGATGAACTGTTGGACTTACCCAATTCTGAAATGTTAGAACCCTGCGAAAACTATGTTCTGAGAACAAATCAACCTCTCTGGCTTAGCTACTGGAAAGAAACTTCCCAAGGAAAATGGGAGTAATCAACCTGCCAACAATACAGTCAGCAAGTGGGTCCTTCCTGGGTCTAAACACAAAGGGTCTGAGCCATTCTGCTCTCTCTCACAATGTTTGTGATTCCGGAAGAAGTCTCTGTGTCCTCTATGGTAGAGGCCATAAGGACTGGTTCTGTTTGGAAAGAAAAGGGTATACAGGAAAAGATAAAATGTTCACTGTTAAAATATGATTCTAAAATTTCTGCAATCTGTGGAGAGCCACATGTAGGCCACCCAAGTGTTTCTGGTTAATCCAAAATAGTTTATGAATGTGCATGAAGCTCTGAATTGGCCTTTCCCTCTTTCACTATTAATGAATCGATATATTGAATAATGAAAAGAAGCACTTAATGGAGAAAGAGAAGAACACAGCTCCCCCCACATTCTTGGGGGGGGTAGGAATGAAGGAGAGAATGACATTAGCATTTTATGAGTAAACGTTTTTATTTTAATGGTACTGGGGTTTCAAGTCAGGACCTTGAGTTTGGTAGACAAGTACTCTACTTGAGCCACACCCACAATCCTACATTAGCATTTAGACTGGCCATGCATTTAAATATTTTTGCATGTGTACGTCTTTGCTTGCTCATAGTGTTGTGCTTCATTTTGAAAGATCAGACAGCTGCTTGCTATATTAAAGAGAATGCTAAAATAACATACTATAGACTGAAATGAGATCATCCATTTAGGAATCTGTAAATGTTTCATTATACAGCCCTAAATAACAAAGTTTCTCAACCCCAAATTGCTTAAGTATTTTCATAAAGTTTTTCTCTCTCTTTTATTGTCAGCCCTATAAGTTGCTCAAAGGCTCTAGTGTAGAGAAAATGAATTCTTAAGGTGGGGGTATGGTTCAAGAGGTAGAGCACCTGCCTAGCAATAGTGAATCCTGAGTCAAATCCCAGCATTACTAGAAAGGGGGAAAAAAAGACATACTTTTTTTTAAAGCCTTACTAGGTTAATAGGGTACTGCTGCCCAATGATGCCACCTTGTTCTTTTGTGAGTGTGTGTGCTGGTCCTGGGGCTTAATTACAGAACCTGGGAGTTGTCCCTGAGATTCTTTTCTCAAGGCTAGTGCTCTACCACTTGAGCCATAGCTCTACTTCTGTTTTTCTGGGAGGTAGTTTATTAGAGATTAGAGTCTCATGGATTTTCCTGCCCAGGCTGGCTTCAAACTGCAATCCTCAGAGCTCAGCCTCCTGAGTAGCTTGGATTATAGGTGTGAGACATCAGTGCCCGGCCCCACCCCATTCTTCTATTATGTCACTAATAGGGGCACAGAAATTAATGAAACCCAGTCCCTACCAAGGAAGAGCTCACAGACTAGAAGAAGAAACAGACACACCATTACATAATTGCTGTACCACATGGAGCATGGCAGAGTATACACTATTAGGCTTTTAAGCAATGTGGCATTTTGTTTTGGTCACTTATTGCAATCCTTCTGTATCCTCTGCCTTGTACTAAGCCGATGCTCAATAAGCAAGTCTTTGCCGGAATGTATGCAGGGCTGGAATATTGAGAGAATATCTGGTATAAGCTGGGTTACAGCTTGCAAGAGGGGAGGGGATGGATGGCTGAGAAGAATGTTAAGCATTACACTGTCCATCAGAATGCCACCGTCCCCGAGTAAGTGATCGGAATTGTTTACTCAATTGTACTCAAACCTTTAGAGCACTGTACATATAATTTCTCCTAGTCCTGGCTGTTGATCAGGCTGTTGTCTGTTTCTCAGATCATTTGTATATCTAGTATATGGTTTTGCTTGTGACGATTACAATTTTGGCCTGGGAAAGTGGCTCAGTGGTAGAGTGCTTGCCTGGCATGCATGAGGCCCTGGGTTTGATTCCTTAGTAACATATAAACAAAATAAATTAATTAATTAAATTAAAAATAAGATTAAAATTTTACCAATTTGATGATCAAACTAAAACTTTGAAAATGATTGTTCCTTGTGACCCTTTCAGCACTTCTTGTCTGTCCTGTGTATTACGTAACAAGCAAAGTGGTTATGCTCCCAATAGGAGTATAATTCTACATAGATGATTTGCAGTGATTCATCCTTGTCAACTGTCTTTTTGTGCCTGTAGGATGTACTGAAGGCCCCATTGACCTGGTCTTTGTGATTGATGGATCCAAGAGCCTTGGAGAGGAGAATTTTGAGATTGTGAAGCAGTTTGTCACTGGAATTATCGATTCCCTGGCAGTTTCCCCCAAAGCTGCTCGAGTGGGGCTGCTCCAGTATTCCACGCAGGTCCGCACAGAGTTTACCCTGAGAAATTTCAGCTCAGCCAGAGACATGAAGAAAGCCGTGGTCCACATGAAATACATGGGCAAGGGCTCCATGACGGGACTGGCATTGAAACACATGTTTGAGAGAAGCTTCTCACAAGCAGAAGGGGCCAGGCCCCTCTCCACACGGGTTCCCAGAGCGGCCATCGTGTTTACTGATGGACGGGCTCAGGATGATGTCTCCGAGTGGGCCAGTAAAGCCAAGGCCAATGGTAAGAGGGGATGGAGATAGGGCAACATTCAAGGCTTGGGGTTCTTAAGTTCACTCAATGGGCACAGTAGCATAGGCTTCCTGAAAACTGCCCATAGACACCTTGAGTAAACTGCCACCTAGAGGCCAGAGTGGGACTCCAGAGATGTTATATTAAGAATGAGATGCCAGGTGCCCGGGGCTCATGCCTGTAGTCCTAGCTACTCAGGAGGCTGAGGTCTGAGGATCTCAGTTCAAAGCCAGCCTAGGCAGGAAAGTCCTTGACACTCAGTAAGAAAGTGTCACTGTGGCTCAAGAGGTAGAGTGCTTACCTTAGCTGAAGAGCTCAGAGACAGCGCCTAGGCCCAGAGAATTCAAGCCCCATAACTGACAAAAAAAAAAAAAAAGAATGAGACAGTCCCAGCTCCATGATGTGATTTCCTACCAGTGTGACCTCCAGTGGGGAGAATCATTCTGCACGCACTGTTTAACCACAAGGACACAGAAACTCCCAGTCATGTTTGCTTTTGAATCACCTGAAGAAGTTAAAATATAGATTCCCAGTGGGAACTTTTGCTGTAAAAGTGTAGAAATATAAACACATTTGTGTGTGTGTGGGGGGGTGTGCGCACATGTGCGTGCACGCATCATTCCTGGGGCTTAAACTCAGAGCTTGGGCTCTGTCCCTGAACTTTTGCTCCAGGCTAGCACTGTACTACTTGAGCCATAGCCCCACTTGCAGCTTTTTGACAGTTAATTGGAAATAAAGTTTGTTGCTGAGTGCTGGTGGCTCATTCCTGTAATCTTACCTGCTCAGGAGGCTGAGATCTGAGGAATGTAGTTTGAAGCCAACCCTAGCAGGAAAGTTTGTGAAACTCTTATCTCTAATAAACTACAAAAAAAAAAAAAAAGTGGAGCACTAACCTTGAGCACAAAAGCTCAGGGATGGTGGCCAGGCCATGTTCAAGCCCCAGGACCAGCAAAAAAAAAAAAAAAGTTGCACTTTGTTAAATAGGCTTCCTCAGAGCTGAGCAGCAGGTGGTGCCTTAGCTTCCAGTCTCTTCCAGATGTCTCTTTTCTCTTTAGGGTCCGAGAGAGACAGACAGAGAGAGAGAGAGAGAGAGAGAGATCTTTTTGTTCACAGGGCCAAAATAAAAATGATGGGAAAGCCAGGTGCTGGTGGCTCATGCCTATAATCCTAGCTGCTCAGGAGGCTGAGATTTGCGGATCCCAGTTCAAAGCCAGCCTGGGCAGGGAAGTCCATGAGACTCTTATCTCCAATTAACCACTAGAAAACCAGAAGTGGCACTGTGTCTTGAGCTGAAGAGCTCAGGGACAGTACCCAGACCCAGAGTTCAAGCCCCTCAACCGACCAAAAAAAAAAAAGTGGAAAAAAGGCAAAGAAATGGATGTTGGTAGCATCAATCTTGCCAATCTTAATACCTAGTTAACTTTGGAATGTAGTAGACACAACCTTCGGATCTTGATAACACTATTCTCTATCTTGTTTTAATTTGCTCTGGCCCCTAGGCATCACTATGTATGCTGTTGGGGTAGGAAAAGCTATCGAGGAAGAACTACAAGAGATTGCTTCAGAGCCCACTGACAAGCACCTCTTCTATGCAGAAGACTTCAGCACCATGGGCGAGATAAGTGAAAAACTGAAGCAAGGCATCTGCGAAGGTACTGTAGCAGGTACCCAAGAAAGACCTTAGCCAGTGGCCAGCATAAACCAGGAGGGAGAAATCCTCAGTCTGCTCTTTCAACAGGCTCAAAGAAAGCATGGTCCTCAGGCCAGGGATACCTGGAAACACTTAACAGGAGCAGAGAGAGAGAAGGAAAGGCAAACATGGTGACTACCATTGCTTGAGCAGTTGCTCTGTATGTTTGAAAGGCCAGCATACTTCATACTCATCAAGACACAGAAGCAATCTTTTAAGCAAAAAACAATCATACAAATAAAAGTGAACACTGGGCACTCATAGCTCATGCCTATAATCTTAGCTACTCAGGAGGCTGAGATCTGAGGATTGCAGTTTGAAGCCATAAAACTGGAAGTGGAGCTATGGCTCAAAGTAGTAGAGCAAATAGCTCAGGGACAGTGTCTAGGCTCTGAGTTAAAGCCCTACAACCAACAAAACAATAACCAAAAAAAACAAACCAGGTGCTCAAAATGCTGAGATCTGAGGATCGAGGTTGGAAGCCAGCCTGGAAAGGAAAGTCTGTGAGACTCTTGTCTCCAATAATCAAAGAAAAAGCCAGAAGTGTAGCTGTGTGTGGCTCAAGTGGTAGAGCACTAGCTTTGAGCAAAAAGGGGTTTAGGCACAGGGCCCAGGCACAGTTTAAGCTCCAGAAGCAGCAAATAAAAGTGAGTTCAGGTGCAACCTCAAGATGTGCCTATAATTGGAGCCACTGTGGGAAATGTAAAGGTGTCTTCCTATGTGCACTACATTGCAGAATATTAGACTGTCCTGTCCAGGTCAGATTTTGTCTTGTATGCCTTCCCAGTTCATTGAGTCAAATATGCTTATACATAGCAGTCCTGCCCGTTTTCTTTTTCACTCCTGGCCCGGGTTCATGTGCCTGTGAAATGCAGTCTAGGTGATGTATCTTCTTCCTCTGAAGGGAAGAACTGTAGGGTGAAGGGGGACTGAGAGTAGTAGGTCACACTTTGCCCAGGACTACTCATTCCTATTGAAATGCCTGCAGCCATCACAACATGGCTCTTCAATAACTTCCCTACTCCATTATTTCCCCCTTTACTTTCTAGACATGACATTGGGCAGGAGCTATTCTTTTTTTTGGGGGGGGGGTCCGATTGTGGGGCCTGAACTCTGGGCCTGGGCGCTGTCCCTCAGCTCTTCAGCTCAAGGCTAGCGCTCTACCACTTGAGCCACAGCGCCACTTCCGGCTTTTTTCTTTTTGCTTATGTGGTGCTGAGGAATCGAACCCAGGTTCCTCAGGCATGCAAGGCAAGCGCTCTACCACTGAGCCACCTTCCCAGCCCTGGCAGGAGGTATTCTTTAGAAGATGTATTTCTCTCTTAGAAGAGAAAACTGCTCTAATGTGATCATAGATGATGACAGTAACCAATTGCTGTTTTGATTCTTTGGTATTATCCAATAAAGCCAAAAGATCCTAGGTGGTGGCAAGTAGGTAAACAGCTTTCTAAAGTGGGCATGCTTGCATGTAGAAACTGTAACTGCTTTTGGCTCTTTACACTCAGCTCTAGAAGATTCAGATGGAAGACAGGATTCCCCAGCAGAGGAATTTCCACAGAAAGTCCACCAGCCAACAGGTAATTCCTCAAAAGCAGTGTTTGCAGAACTTTTGGAGGATGCCTCCACCATAATTTCCTTCCTGATTACAGCTGTGAGGTAGAAAGATTTAATTGATGCCAATTTAGGCTTCTTTCCCCCAACAACAGCAAAGATTTACTCTATACTTTAAGCCATATTTGGCAACCAGTGTCTCTGCTGACAGCTTTCAGTATACCAGTGTGTCCCTGCAAACAAGCTGTGTATCAAGTGCTAGGAATACTATTTGCTTTTTATATTCTGCTGATGGCTGCTTTCACACACAGTAGTGTTAAGCCGGTTTGACTTCAATTTTCTTTATTTTTACAGAATCTGAACCAGTCACCATAAATATCCGAGACCTACTTTCCTGTTCTAATTTTGCAGTGCAGCATAGATATCTGTTTGAAGAAGACAATCTTCCGTGGTCTACGCATAAACGGTTCCACTCAACCAAATCTTCAGGTAATTCCAAGTTAAATATTGCTGTAAGATAACTTGATATTAACTTTTCAGCTTGTCAACCAACTGGGCTTCAAAGAAGATGTAGAAACAGCACCATCTTCTAACACTCTTCCATTGTTAGAAGCACACACAGGATTGGAAAAGTGGCTCAGTGCTTGCCTTGCCTTGCATGCATGAAGCCATGAGTTCAATTCCTCAGCACCACATAAGCAGAAAACGCTGATAGTGGTGTTGTGGCTCAAGTGGTAGAGTGCTCACCTTGAGCTGAAGAACGGAGGGACAGCTCCCAGGCCCCAGAGTTCAGGTCCCACAACTGACACAAACACACACAACCCTTTCCCCATGTGTGCTTAACTAAATCCGGTGGCATGGAAAAAGCTGAACACTTCTTTCATTATGGGTTCTTCTCTGTGCTGATTCAGTTCTGTGATTATGCATCTGAGAAGTCTGGTGACCCACTGAGGTGAATACTTTCCATCTGCTTCCCCAGGAAGCCCTTTGGAAGAGAAACACGATCAATGCAAATGTGAAAACCTCATCATGTTCCAGAACCTTGCCAATGAAGAAGTAAGAAAACTAACCCAGCGCTATATCCTTTTCTAATATTGCACTTATGTGAGTGCAAAGAACACTATTGAAACTTTATTGATACTATGTGGGCTTATCAGTCAAGTCAAGAACAGTGGACTCCAGGAAAGAACTTTTCTTTTTTTTTTTTTTTAAAGTGGCCTAACAGGTGTTTCAGAGCCAAGGTTAACCCACGCTTAATGAGAGTGATTTAACCCTCTAGTTGCCATCTGCTGTTCTAGTAGATTAGAATTAAGGCCAGTCAGCCAGGCAATATGTAAAGATAAAGAACAACCACAAAAAGACAACTCCCTCTCTGCTTCATGTGCTTGGCATGGTGTCCAAGGTATATATATGTCTAGGCTAAGAAAGAAGGACGAGGTAGTTTCTATCTAAACCCCAAAACTTTAGCCCTAAGCCGCATGGCAGCCACTTTCAGATGTTTATTTTTATTTTTTTGGCAGCAGAGTTCTTTTATATCAGCACATTCTACCAGGGGAACAGCAGGATCCCATGATTCATTAAAACAACATTAGAAATGAGAAGAATGCTTTGGGATAATTCAGAAATGAGGCTTTGGTGCTTTTACACATCCATCACACTGCCAATTTCTCTGAACTTAAAATTACAGTAAGCTTACTAAAGCTAGCTAATATGTATCTCAGCATGCATCAGCTAGTCTATAGGGAATGGTTTGCTTCTGAGCCACCCTATGCCAGTGGGCTTATATAACAATAGTGCTGAGCAATTCTTGAAAAGCTGGAAATATGTTCCCTAAGTAGCAAAACATAATCCTTTTGACAGTGGTTCTCTCTCATTCTGCCAGGGCCACAGCTAGAGGGCATTAAGGAGCTTACTGGGAAGACAGATGCTTATTCTAAAGCCTCTTCCTCTCCCTTTCTGACCCTCCCCAGGCAAGGTCTACTTCACAGGAGACTATAGTTAAGTGTAAAGAGCATGGGTTAGAAACCCTAAAGCCACTGTTCTCTAGCCTTGTAGGGGATTGTGGGTGAAAATTTACTCTTGTTTTGACTTCACAGTTCATTTTCCAAAGCCGGATCCTTTCATCTTTTCTATACCACGTCCCCAACACTGTCACTCTGGCTCCCAGAGTGCTATGGCAAACTAATTCATAAGCAACAGAAGTGTGAGGAAAAAAAGGTGAGGGGGAAAAAAGGACAAATTCAAATTGAGCTGGCTTTGATAGCTTTTATTTTTGGCTGGTCCTGGGGTTTGAACTCAGGGCCTACGTGCTGTTCCTGAGCTCTTAAGCTCTAGGCTTGTTCTCTACCATTTGAGTTACAGCTCCACTTCTGGCTATTTAATGGCTAATTGAAGAAAAAGAGTCTCATGGGGGGCTGGGAAGGTGGCTCAGTGGTAGAGTGCTTGCCTTGAATGCCTGAGGCTGGGGTTCGATTCCTCAGCACCACATAAGTAAAAAGAAAAAAGCTGGAAGTGGCGCTGTGGCTCAAGTGGTAGAGCACTAGCCTTGAGCTGAAGAGCTGAGGGACAGCGCCCAGGCCCAGAGTTGCCCCATGACCGGACCAAAAAAAAAAAAAAGAGTCTGATGGATTTTGTTGCCTAGGCTGGCTTCAAACTGTGATCCTGGGTACCTATTACAGGTATCAGCCACCAGCATCTGGCTTGGCTTTGTTGTTGTTTTTGTTGGTCATGGGGCCTGAACTCTGGGCCTGGGCACTGTCCCTATGCTCTTCAGCTCAAGGCTAGTGCTCTCTCACTTGAGTCATAGCACCACTTCGGCTTTTTCTGCTTATGTGGTGCTGAGGAATTGAACCCAGGGCTTCATGCATGCAAGACAAGCACTCTACCATTAAGCTACCTTCCCAGCCCCGGCTTTGATGTTTTTAAAAAAGATTAACCTGAACTATATTTGTCTTGAAAGCATATGTAAATCAATTGCTATAAACTTACAAGCTAGGTTTTCAAATATCTGACATAAATAGGAAACAAATCTTTTACATATCATGACAAACTCTTAGTAATCAAACTGTATTTGAATATAAATTGAAATGAGCAATTCATACTCCTTTTCCTTAATTGAGATGTACTAGAAGAAATGACAGAGCGAATGGAAGCCTTGGAAAACCGCCTAAGATACAGATGAAGACTAGAAATGCTCTATACTTATTTGTCAATATAGAAGGGTTACAGTGAAAGGCACTCACAGCCCCACAGCTCAGGCTGTAGTTGTCTATGAAAATACAGCCAGCACCAAGGAAGCTGGTATTTCATACAAAAAAAAAAAAAAGCAAAATGTAGACACTAACTTTAGTATAGTTTCTGACAAAACATCCTGAAGAATTCTAAGATGGGTTTATTGTAAGAATAAATAAGCTATGCAAGGTATTTCATAATGTACCATGGATATGATTTTCTTCTGCCTCATCCTGCCTAATGTTGGAGTCTTATTTCTGTACAATACTGGCTATGGGAAATGCCTTTTGTGTGTGTGTGTGCGTGGTGGAGGTGGTAGTACTCGGGATTGAACTCAGGGCTCCCTGCTCTTGCTTAGTTATCTACTCACAGCTGGTGTTCTACCACTTGAGCCATGACTTTTCTGGCAGAAATGCTAATTTTTTTGTACTTACCTTGATATGTATATGATTGTAAGCATAAAATCATTGGACATATGTACTTGTGTAACAAGCTAAATTTTTTATACAATATTAAAATTGGCCACTTTCGAGAATGGCATGCCATATAAAATTTTTACTTTATTTACAGACAATCTGAGGCTGGCCTTGAATTCTAAATCATCCTCCCTTTCCTACCAAGTGCTGGGATTATAGATGTCACCAGGCCTGGCCTTAGTTTAACTATATATGCAAGGTATGTGGTACATGAAAATGCCAGTACACATAAGAGAAAAATCTTTAATTTCAAAAGTTATCAGGAAAATGAAAGCTAAAACAATACCATTTTTTAGCCTATGGGCTTAGCAGAAATGATTTTATTTTTTTGGGTCCAGTCGTGGGGCCTGAACTCTCGGCCTGGGCGCTGTCCCTCAGCTGTTCAGCTCAAGGCTAGCATCTACCACTTGAGCCACAGTGCCACTTCCAGCTTTTTCTGCTTATGTGGTGCTGAAGAATCGAACCCAGGGCCTCATGCATGCAAGGCAAGCACTCTACCACTGAGCCACCTTCCCAGCCCCAGAAATTAATGTTTGACTAATGGAAATACAAGTATTTGTACACTACTAATGATAATGCAAACTGGCCATCTCTTTGGACAGTAAATCTGCCTCCACGATAACGGAAAATGCATGACACACTGTATCTATAGCGACTGAGTCTACAAATACCTAACTAAATGGCCTTATTAGCACTATATACAAGGGGATCTACAGAAAAATGTACTACCAACTGTAAAAGTTACATATCAGGAATAATCTAGTCAGCCAAGTGCTGGTGGCTTATACGTATAATCCTAGCTATTCAGAAGGCTGAGATCTGAGAATCACAGTTGGAAGCCAGCCAGGGCAGGCAAGTCCATGAGTCTAATGCCAGCCAGTTACCCACCAACAAAACAGAAATGGAGCTGTGGTTCAAGGGACAGTGCCAGCCTTGAGCCAAAAAGAAAAGGGATAGTGCCCAGGCCCAGAGTTTAAGCTCCAAAACTGGCAAAAACAATGATTAGAGGGGAACCTGATATTTAGTGTGTTGTAACCCAGACCATGGAAAGGGAATTCTCAAAATACACATAAATAAGATAGTAAAACTCCAAAACCAAGGTTTTAAGGTTAACATACCATTTCTGTACATTAAAACATAGCACAAATGTCATTAGACCTTCATATGTATATTTAGACCAGGAAATGTTTCAGAAAGCTGTAACCAAATGGGAAAATTAAGTGGGACCCGAAAGGCAAAAGTGACTCTACTTCAACAAGGTACTTAGAGCAAAAAGCACTGCTAAGTGGGTACTTCAATAAGAAACAATAAACACAATGACACCCTTCCCAGGAAGCCAATGAATTTTGGAGTCTAAAGGATTTTTTACAAACAAAACACCTTAAATATGCTTACACTGAAATATTCAGAAGCTAGGTGCTGGTGGATCATGCCTGTAATCCTAGCTACTTGGGAAGATCTTAGGATCACAGTTAAAAGCCAGGAAACTCCGTGAGACTCTATCTCCAATTACCACAAGAAAACCGCAAGTGGAGCCATGGCTCAAAGTGGTTAAGAGTGCTAACCTTGAACAAAAGAGCTCAGGGACAGCACCCAGGCTCTGAGTTCAAGCCCTACTGCCAAAACAATTTTAAAAAATTTTAAAAATCTGGACACCTGCTCTCATTAGAATGTCCTCCAAAGGGCAGAATGGTAATGAAAACATCTCAACCGCCTCTGAACGTCACGAGTCTTCCCAGGTATAAACAGTGTTGAATAAAAACACTAAATCTTGAGTTTATATCTGAGTAATGAAGTTGATCCTGAAGGGAGGTTTTCATTAGAAACAATTGTTTAAGTTGATAGGCATTTTGGTATCACCTGTTCAGGCTCTGCTTCTGGTACTTTACTGTTGTGTTCAAGCTCCCTCTAGTGGCTTGACTCACTCCTCCACAGCCTTGTTCAAACTACTATAAACACATTTCTACCAGATGGGAGCTGGGAAAACACACGGCAAACAAGCCTCTAACCAGTCCATCAACATTTACAAATTAACCTAAGATATCTGTTTCATTTATAATTTGATTTTTTTCATTTTTCCCCACCTGTATAAAGGTGTTGAATTATCATTTATCATAACCTTCCTATGCCTTGATGTCATCTGTAAAACAAGGCTAATGGTACTATCTTCTTTGGCTGTCAAAAGGACTAAATAAAGCTGAAGGTATAGCTAAACATTTTAAATACTTAATATTAGCTATTACAGGGCTGGGAAGGAGGCTCAGTAGTAGAGTGCTTGCCTTGTATGCATGAGGCCCTGGGTTCAATTCCTCAGCACCACATAAGCAAAAAGTCGGAAATGGCGCTGTGACTCAAGTAGTGGAGCGCTAGCCTTGAGCTGAAGAGCTGAGGCACAGTGTCCAGGCCCAGAGTTCAGGCCCCATGACCAGACCCAAGGAAAAAAGAAATTAGCTATTACATTTACAATGATATTTAGGACAACAAATCCTCTGCTTTGGCTTCTGTTTTCTGTCTCTCAGCCGCCCCTGCTCTCCTATCCCAACCCCCCCCCCAGCATGGGACCTGGCCTGGGCACTGTCCCTGTCTGAGCTTTTGCTCAAGTCTAGCACTTTGAGACTCAGCTCCACTTCTGGCTTTCTGGTTGTTAATCAGATAAGGGTTTCACACTTTCCTGCCTGGGTTGGCTTTGAACTTCAATCCTTAGACCTCAGCCTCCTGAGGCCTGAGCCACCAGCACTCAGCTGGCTTCTGTTCTTTACCTGATTAATTTACAAGATGCTATTAAAAAAAAAAAAAACTATTAACAAGATAAAGGGCTGGGAAGGTGGCTCAGTGGTAGAGCGCTTGCCTTGCATGCCTGAGGCCCTGGGTTCAATTCCTCAGCACCACATAAGCAAAAAGAAAAAAGCTGGAAGTGGCGCTGTAGCTCAAGTGGTAGAGCGCTCGCCTTGAGCTGAAGAGCTGAGGGACAGCGCCCAGGCCCAGAGTTCAAGCCACATGACCGACAAAAAAAAAAAAAAAAACCTGAACAGAAAATGCTCCAAAATTTTAAACATGAATACAATGCCTCAAATGGTAAATTCTGTATCTCAAAACTGTTTCGTCCAGCCCAGCACCGGTGGTTCACGCCTGTAATCCTAGCTACTCAGGAGACTGAGATCTGAGGATCATTGTTCAAAGCCAGCCCTGGCAGCAAAGTCCATGAGACTCTTATCTCCAATAAACTACTCAGAAAACCAGAAGTGGCCCAGTGGTTCTAGTAGTAGAGTGCTAGCTTTGAGCTGAAGAGCTGAGGGACGGCGTTCAGGCCGAGTTCAAGCCCCATGACCAACCAAAAACAAAAAACTGTTTAAGCCAGGCCCCAGTAGCTCACCTCTGTAATCCTAATTTCTCAGGAGGCTGAGATCTGAGGATCAAGGTTTGGAGCCAACCTAAGTCCGTAAGACTTACCTTTTTTGTCGGTTGTAGTGCTTGAACTCAAGGCCTGGGGCCATCCCTGAGCTTTTTCTCTTCTTTGTGGTTCGTTGGGCTAGGGCACTGTTCCTGCAGTCTTCAGCTCAAGACGAGTCCTCTACCACTTGAGCCACAGCACCACTTCTGGTTTCCTAGTGGTTTATTGGAGCTAAGTCTCACAGACTTTCCTGCCTGAGCTGGCTTGGAACTGTGATCCTGATTTCAGCCTCCTGAATAGCTAGGATTACAGTCATGAGTCACCGGTGCCTGGCCCTGAACTCTTTTTCAAGGCTAATGCTCTACCACTTTTAGTTATATATAGCACCACTTCCAGTTTTCTGGTGACTAACTGAAGATAAGGAGTCTCACAAACTTTCCTGCCCCAGTTGGCTTTGAACCCAGATTCTTACCTCCTGAGTGGGTAGGACTATAGGCATGAGCCACCAGCATCTGGTGGTTCCCTAAGACTCTGATCTGCAATAAAATACAAAAAAAAAAAAAAAAAGCCAAAGTAGAACTATGGGTCATGTAGAGAGCTATGAGCAAAAAGCTCAGGCATAGCAGCACCCAGGCCCTGAGTTCAAACCTCAGGTCTGGCACCAAAAAAAAAAAAAAAAAAAACACAAACACAAAAGCCCGGCTTAGTTTGCACTTTTATTAAACTAGTCATAAGTCAGAGTACAGGTTCACTCCATACCTCAACCCATTTTCAGGGAGACCAAAAGCCTTCATAAATCTCCAGTGTATGGGAGGAAAAGAAAGGGAGGAAAAGGACCATCCTAGATTCAAAATAAGACATATTATTACCTAATTTTCACAAAAGCAATGTTGTCACCTTATATCAAATTGGTACAATAGCCCCACAAATAACACTATTATAAGACGCCCAAATCAGGAAATACCCTGTCTAAAACACATTCTGGTCTCTCACATTTTAGCTAGCAACTTTTCAGTGCAATCTCTATAAAAAAACACATGAAAATGGAAGCCTTGCCACCACATCCAATTGCCTTCTCCTAGCAAATCCCACCTTCAGGAGAAGTGTTAAGGAAACAAAAAGTTATAAAGAAAAGAACCAAAATGCATACAATGTTTTTATAACAGCTCTGGAAAGTTTTATTAAAGAAAAATTGTGCACTCTTTACTTTTCTCCAGTTTGTTCTGGCATGCTTCTAATGATATCAGAATCACCTAAAAAATAAAAACAGCAATTTTACAATTTATCTAATGCTATTGGCTAATCACTGATTTGCCTACATTGGCTACATTCTTTAAACAAATCTCCACATTAGCACCAACTACCCAGCATTTTTCTTAAGGTCAAAGGTAACTTAGAATCTGAACCATTAGATGGTCATATAAAATTATATGGTAAATTAGACCAGGTTTATCACCAGCATTTATAAAACCAGGCCTAGGGAAAAGACCTAGATCTGGGGACACATGCATGGTCTTAGTGTAGCGAATGTTTAGCCTGTCCTGATTATTACAAAATCAGAACAGCGAGAATATTCGCAACATTTTGTTGGTTAACTAAAAGGTTGAAATGTAAGACTATATAGGTTTATAGTCCCTCTACCTAACTTAATTTTGCTTTATTGTT